ATTTCTTGTATTATTGCATCAGTTTCTTTATGATATTTTTAGGAACCTTTTAAACAAGACTACATTTATCAGATTCACGTGTGTCTCCCTTTATTGATGGCCCATTTGTTTCTTAGTCTAGCTCTGTTGGTTTGGTAGTATTAGTATTTTTTAGGCTTGTTATTGCCTTTAAATTGATAGTTGACAGCTGAAAAGTGAGCAGAAGTTGGAGATACAGCAGAGCAGGCACCAGGTGAGCTACACCAAGGGAGGACGTTTTCTCACAGAAAATTAAAAAATGCTGAGTATTAGATCTTACTGTTATATTTTAAGGTTTTCTTTTCACCCCTTAGAACTCAAAAGCCTCGGACTCCATGAACTTTTGGCGAACCCTAGTTGGGTCCCCGAGCCCCAGGTTGGGTATCCCAGCTATGCATCTGCTTCTTACAAATGTACCCATAAAACCACTTGAAGCTGCATTTGCTTCACAAATTCACTCCTAATTAATTAAGATGCAAGATGAGATAAGAAGATAGAGGAGTGAAAAAAGAGTGATGCAAGATAGAAATAAACAAAAACAATGAATATAATAAATAAATAAATGAAAGTAAGACTAAACCAATTTATTTATTTTACGGTAGTAGTAATGATTAATGCTGCTGACCTCTGATTCCTCCAGGCTCATCTCTTTTCATTTTTTTTGCAGCTGCTGCAGGGTATATTTGTTGTTGTAGTTTGGATTACTGCCCCATAACCTCAGATATGAACACACATTCCCCTTCTTCTGTGGTTTTTATATGTAAACACACACAACTATTATTATTCTATCATCCCCACACACCACGCACACACATTATCACCGCACACGACACACACGCCACGCAACACGGCACACACCACACAACACACACACACACACACAGGGACTGTAAGGATTAATGGCCCTTCATCCACTCTCCCATCATTATCTGTATTCACCAGCAGTATCATCCATCACTGCCGGATGGCCTGCAGCGCCATCTGCCTGTCACCCGACATTAATGCAACCCTCCAGGTCAGCGTTGGGGGCGTGCAGCTCGCTCTGGGTGTGTGTGCTGGTTGCTTTCTGTGCTGAGCCACCAGGGGGCCCTTAAACAAAGAAACCCAGAGTCCTCTTATTTTTCATTTACCTGTAAGAAATATGAATCTATACATGTATATGTACATAATTTCTAAGCAACATTAAGATACAACAGCACATAGTGTGCCCATTGGTCAGCTATACAGTCATACAGACATTATATTGATGAAAATACATGTCCATGAAGTAAAGGCTCAATAATCATCTTCACAAACATAATCCATGTTTCCAAGTATTGAAGGAATTAATCAACCTGTAACTTAAAAGTAATTGTCTCCATGCTTTAAACAGTATTCACAATATCTATCCAGTCGGCCTTTGAGGTTTGATCTGTACCCATTTTTATGTTACAGCTTTCTTGCTGGCTGCTAATCGTATATTTAGTAGATGTTTGTCTTGCACCAGTAAAGTAAACCAAATATGTTCTGCACTGCTCATTCTCATTCTCATTCTGTTTGTGCTGCATTTTATTAAGAAAAAAAAAGACTGCTGAGCAAATATTTTATCTGGATATATTT